TGGAACAAGGTTCTAGCTCAGGTGCGGTGATGTCAACAAACTTGATATGGTTGCCAACGCTTTGGGCAGAGGAGATGCTTATTCACCTACAGATGGAAGTTCAAGCGAGGTTGATGAGACGGCCTCAGAGATCAAACGCCGTTATCGGCAGTCTGGCCAAAATGACGTGTCAGACCCAGAGCTTTGGTTTCTTTTGAACTACGGTGGATCAGATTCAGAGTCTATGGAAGTTTGAAGCTCTTTGGATCGTTCAAGTGCAGTCAGTAGCACTACATTTGAGCTGGAACTTCACGAGATAGTGCCCAAGCCTGAGGATAATTTGGATCTCAGTTGGCACATGCATGCGTTAGCAGCCAGCCCACTCAGTTCCAAAGAAACTATGGAAGTAGTGGCACAACAAAACGTGGCACCAGCGCCACACGTGGATTGGTTGCTTAGAAATTTTCATTTATAGCTGCCATGCATGTCAAAAAGACAGCATCGAGACGGGGTGCTTGTCCTTTACGCATTTGGCATCCCTTTTCATTCATGTAACATGTAGCAGTCATGTTGAGTTTCTTTGCACTGCAAGAGGCACAAACCAGGGTGCCCTCCGTTGAGGAACGAAAAAGGATAAACCTTTATTTAACATACAGCTTCTTGGGCTTTGGTTTGAACCCTTCGTTCAATGATACCAAAGCCCCCTGCCGCAACAACCAAAAACAAACTGGTCAAACTGCAACACTTTTACTCAAACCTTTTTTCTGGGGTTTTTCAGTGACCCATGGATCTTCTTGCGGTTTGTGTCTGGTGAATTTAGTCAAGAGTACTTTCATGGGTCTTCGGAAACCAAAACTTGAATGCTGTACAAATAGATTTCAGTATCTGGCATTTGCCTCTTTGTGCGTGTACTGAATTCTATGTTGTGTTGGCATTTTGGTTTCAAGTTTTGTGCGTTAGCCCCATGGTCGGTGAATCTTCAAAATTGCACTGACACACGTTGCAGCATTTTTGGACGTTGCTGACAACATAGAGGATATTACCAATAATCCCCCTGTGTCAGATGGACACCAGTCTGATGATGATCCATGACACTGTGGACCATCCACAGCCAGCTGGTGTTTCCAGCGACCTCTCCTTCGCGCATTTGGTAGAGCAGGGTTGGAATACGGATGGCGAATTTTTTGACAGTGGCAACACTTCTGAAACTGCAGTTGAGGATTTTTCGAAATTTCATTTGCAACAGACAGGTTTTGAAGGTGAATCCGATGATGCAGACTGTCACTACAATACAGCTGATTCATGGCAAGAGGCTGAGTCTCAGGGTCCTGGTGTTGATGCACGACATGCGCCCAACAGTTCAACTGGTGTTCATCTTGAATCTACTGGTAGGTCTGAACAGGTCATTGTTGCAAACATCAGTGCATGTGTTGAAGCCGCTTACTCGATGTTACCGTTTTCTCCCCCAAAACCAATCTGGGAACAGGGGGTTTGGGCTGACATTTTTGGTAATGGGCAGTTTCTTGGTAACAGGACTACGTGTGCCTTGCTGCACAATGTTTTGCAAACTGGTTCATCGTGGGACAAAGTTTTTGCGGGGGCCATTTTGTTTGCAACATACGCTCGAGCCAGATGGGCAGACCTGATGCATACTGATCAGATTTTGATAGACCGAGATGATGGGCATGTTATTGTTTTCCTGGAGGCTTTGACGTCCACCCACAAGACAATGAGGTCGTCGGTCTTCAGGCATCGTTTTCTGCCATTGACGGCGCCAGGAACAGGAGTGACACCCGAGTGCTGGGCTGAGTTGTGGCTATCCAGCAGAGAACACGCTGGGTTGTCAATGCCGCCAAAGCACGTGGTCATGCCGGCCCCTGGTGCTGATGGGGCCCCATCGATGAGACCTTTGACTTCGACTGAGGCGAGCCAATGGTTGCGGAAGCTACTCACTGGCTGCAAAGATGTGAGCAAAGAGCGCAAGGTATCCATTCACAGCTGCAAGGCTACATGCTTGAGCTATTGCGCGAAGTTTGGATTGGACGCGATCACAAGGTTGCAGTTGGGTTACCACACAGGAGGTGACAGTGGGTTGCGCATGGTCCACACTTACTCCAGGGACGCTCTGGCTGAGCCTTTGGCCAAGTTAGTTTCAGTTTTGACTGAGATAAGGTCAATGAGATTCAGACCTGACTGCACGAGAAGTGGGCGCTTCAGTGCCTCAGTTGATGCTGCAGTGCCCGTCGTTGCTGGGCCCATGTCGAATTTGGACAGAGAGGTCAGAGCAGTTGACAAGGGGCCTGGTAGTGTCGTGGATCTGGTGAGTGAAAAGGAAGAGAGCGAGGACACTTCAGGAGTTGAGGTGTCCAGTTCTTCGGATGAGTCATCAGAGGAAGAGTTCCAAGAGGAACAAAAACAGTTGCGGCTGTTTCTCCCTCCGGTGCCGCCTCCTGGATATGTGTTCTGGCAGCATTCGAAGATGAAGACGCTTCACCTTGCGCTACCAGAATACAAGAAGGTCTTCATGTGCAACAGAAGCATTGGTCAGTTCCATGTGAACACCAACATGAGTATCAGATATGATACACCAGTTTGCAGGTTGTGCGCAAGCGCGACAAAGGACGGCTAGGCAGAGCTGGATCAAGGGACATTTTGTTCGATCTGCAGCGGCCAAAAAAAGAGATTGAAGCGGTCCTCTTGTTTTGCTGTTGTGGCAAAACAATCCATAGAGCAGAATTCGTGCAGTTTCTGATTTCATTTGCGCATTTTGAGATGTGATTCATTTAAGGTAAATGAAAATGGCAACAATTAACTGTGCCTGTGACATGAACCAAGGGATATCTGGGATCCGTTGGGAGATTGTTCCAATGGGCAAGTTTGCGTTGCATTGAGAAGCACACACCAGCCACAGGGCCTGTATGAGAAAATAATTAAAAATATGAATAAAATATGATAAAAATACAAGTGTAAAATGCAAAATCTAACCATTTATAATTGCAGAAAAATGCTTTCTGTTTTACATGTTGGCACATGTTGCTTGTGCTGTTGAACGCTCAAGGGTTGGTGATATTTATTTTTTTTGGAGGGGCTTGCGTTTTTGGCAAAAAAACAAACAAAACAATATCCTTGTTGTTGTGCTTTTGCCCTGGGTTTGGTCAAAGGTGCAATTCCAAACATGTGAGGAAAAAATTCTTCACACTTTTGAGGAACAAATGGATGATTTTGCAAAGGTTTGTCAAGACATAGCAAAAATCATCATGTCAGGCCTGCCAATTTTTGGTCTTATGTTTTGCCAATCCAAAATTACTTACTAACGGCCAAGTGCTTCTAGTGTGAAAGGCTTCCTAAAACAACAAACTTTGCCACACAATTCAAATCAATGGACAATTATTTACCGTTTTTGGTGTTGGGGAGTCAAAGGCCAGGAGAAAACCAAACATATGTGCTGCATGCAGACAATTAGTTTTGATGCAAGCAATGGTTTCATGAAACCTGAACAACAGATGTGGCAATTTCAGATGACGTTGGGTGGGCTCTACACTGCGCCATTTCACAACCAGACTCGACTAGGAAAACCACAATTGTAACATTGCAACGTAAATCGCACTTAGTGACTTAGTGCACCACCAAACCTTATGAGAACGTACAGGGACATGACAGGACAGAGCTGAGCTTTTAGCGGGTTCTTGCAACACAAAGGCTGATGTTGCAACATACCTTTGGTTCTGGCATCTTGCACTGAATTTGTGCACCAATGGCCAACAACCAGCAGTTCACATGGCTCAGGATTGGTGCCTGGTTATGTTGGGTTGTCTTTAGATTTGGCAATGTTGGACAGATTAACAAGTAACAAGCGATTGGTGACAAACAATTAAGTCTGTTAAAACCATCTTAGCTATTAGTAGATATTTTGACAATGCTATACCGCTATTTCATACATACATATATTCGGTTTGGAATCATGTTCAGAAATCGATTCAAGATACAAAAACATACCAAAACATTTCCATTTTTTCGGTAGCCAAGTGAAGCAATGCCAAGTGCCAGCCGCTTGCTCTTCAGATGCTGTTTCCTCTCCAGCTACAACAGTTGAAGACCCCGACAGTGACCAGGACGATTTGGAGATCATTGAGGACAAGGGCAAGGGCAAGGACGATCTGCAACCCAAGATTCACAGGATGCAACAGTCACCAACCTAGAGAGACCTAGGACCTAGGGTCTGACCTAGAGATGGAAATTTTTATTTACTCAGGCTTTTGTCCCAAAGTGGTGGCAGTCTTTTTGGCGCTAGAGCGCATGCGTTTGCTGATCGAGTTGTAGCTAGCCATTAGGAAATCATATGAAACCAGTGCTGCACAAGTCGCTGAGGCAAAGCCTTTAAACTTTCAGCAGCCATCCGCTTCTTTCAAACAGACCCAGAATCCTGGGAAGAAGGGTCGCTTTTGCAGACAGCCCAAGCCGCCATACAGCAGCTAGGGCCAGTAGCTTCAGCATAGCAGTTTTTTCTAATTTCAAACACCTGCGTTCCAAAGCAGACTGGCGACTTGAAATTTCAGTTGGTTTTCCAGCTACCAGCTACTGTGCATGGGGACAAACGACAACAGGTCCGAAGCGCATGTGCGCATGTCACAAGCCAAAGGCTGACTAGTTTTGAAATCTGTGCATGTATGCCTTAGCTGTAGCTGTAGTAAGTAGTCGCTGTAGTCAGCTGTCGCTGTTGTATTGCTGGATGCGCTGCAGACTTTGAGATTGTAGACATTGTAGACGATGACTATGACTTAGTGACCATTAGAGTATATAGACTGTACACTGTAGACCCAAAGGATTTTTTCTCAACCTTGATCCACAAGATTAGATATGGCTCAGAAGTTTCTGCTTGTCAGCTTTGTTGTCTCTTACTTGGATTCCTAGATTCCTAGATCCTAGAGCCATCTGGATTTTGAACCTGTTGCTTCCCAGCGCGTGTTTCAAGCTTCAAGTAGCTGAGCTCGTTGGGGAGCCTTTGCCTTTCCATTCTAGGAATGGGAGAAGACTGGGCGCCAGACACTTTGCCTTTGGAGTTTCCAGATGAGTGGACAGAGTTGGCCACAAAGGCTGTCAATGATGGTGTCGTTCAGGTGGACACTGCCTCAGAAGCACGGCCAGAGAGTGACACAGATCCAGGAGCTGAAGCTGAGGTTGGGCGGGCATTGTCGACTCTCCATGAGCGTGTGGCCCGCTTCTCTCATGTTGTTCGCTTGGATCGTCCTCAAGATGATCCATTTTGGTTGCCCCATTTCTGGAACATTGTGGAAGCGCTGGATACTGTGGACCACATGTTCACCCAGAACAACTTTCGCAAGAAGCTTGCAGTGGTTTCTGGATGCTCTGGAATGTGTGCAGAAGGCTGGGCTCTCAAGGCAGGGCCATTGGGGACATGTTTCTTTCATGATTTCTTATCAGGCTAACGCAACCGGTTCTGAGAAGTGTGTAAATTGAACAGTCACTATCTGTCACTAACTCACAGACTGTATAGCCGCTATAGCCTTACAACCAATTAAAACACATTAGATTCATTAGATATGTTTGTCTCAGGTTTCCAGTTTTCACCCTTTGCCAAGGTGTTCAATACATATACTGACCTTCTGTTCATGCATGTTGCCATCCTGCCAAACCACAATCTTTCCAGCATGCAAGCGCTTGAAACAAAGTGTTCATGATACACGCACCTTGTGCTTGTTGCTGGCTGGCTTGTGCTCATCATAGACCTGCCCCTGACAGTTGATGGGCATGTTCGTCGACTCCATCAATTGCTGCGACCTCAAGAACTTGTCGCACGACGTCATTGCTGCCAACTTTGAAGGGCAGGTCTCCCACTTCTTCCATACGGTGGCTGATCAGGTTGCAGGCGAAGGGTGCTACTACCAGCACGACTGTGGTGCTCCTGTCAATTGCTGTGAGGACACAGCCCCTGACCTGGGCTGCATTGGCACGCCTTGTCAGCCATTCAGCAGGCAGAGGACGAAGCGACATCACCCAGGCAGTGTCCAGGCTCACAAGGACTACAACGCGACCTTCAAAGATTTGCTGGACTGGTTGGTCCACTTCGAGCCGAAGGCAGGGTTCGCTGAGCAGGTGGAAGGCTTCGAGCTTCCAGATCTGAAGACTTCTGCAAGCAAGGTCACACCACTGGACAGGCCAGCCCAATGCAGGGAGGTTTGTTGCATTTTGGATATTGATATTGATAACTGATGCATTGATGATAAATTTATTCTTGACTGTGACTATGACTATTGACTAGTGACTATTGATCAACATATTGAATTTTAACATAAGGATACCACGCTCAAACTTGAAGGACCCTGGTTGCTTGTAAGCTGTAAGCCTGTAAGCTGTTTAAATGAGCTGGGGGAAACAACTGGTGGATGCACTTTCTCAAGTTCAGTTTAGTTTAGCAGCAGCTTCGCCGCAAGGACTTGCTTCTCTGGTTTCACGTTTCTATATTTTAGTTTATTACACATGCCAATATATATATCTATATAATATTTATTTTTGCCAATATATATATATATATTTATTTATTTATTATATATATATATATATTTATATGTATATTATATATATATATACCTATTTATGTTTTCTCTTTGGGATGCTGCTAGAGTGCTACTGCTAGAGTTAGAGGCTGTTGCTAGAGTCTAGGTCTAGGAGTCTAGGTCTCAAGTATACTCTAGCAAAGGATAGCTGACTTTCAGCAGCCTTCGGATAGCGGATGGCTATTTTCAACAATGTTTCATGTGGCTGTGTGTCTTTTGGGGGAGCTTTCCAAGGCAGCCAAAGCATAACCGAAACCGGCATAGCCTTTTCTCATTACTTGTCAGGTTGTTGGAAATGCTCGAGAACTGCACCTGGGGGCACGGTGGCTATCACGTCTTGCCTGTGCATATGGATGCCACGGCTTGGTTGAACATGAGCAGACCCAGGACTCAAACCCAGTTGCCTGCTTTGTTGTGCCGTGTTTGGAATGTTGACCTTGTGGTTTTCCACCAGGGCCTGTTTCCATCAGAACGGGTTACTGAGTTGATTGTGTCAGTGTAAGTGTACGTGTATGTGGCTCGAAGCGTTTGAAGCATTTCATGCTTCATGTTTCATGTGACGCAGGGCAGAGAATCACCCAGATTAGATCGTATGTCGTATGTAGCTTGATTTCCATGGAAACCTAGAAGGATTAATTAGATTAGAACTTTGTGCTTTACTTTGCAGTCCCAGCTTCACTTACAAAGCCAAACGTCAAACAGCAAATCTTTCAGGCTACCAGCCGCAACCGAAATAACAGTTATCAGAATATATGAATCTAGCAGCACGTATATGATCTGAAATATGGATGATGGCAGCTCACATAGTGAAGGCTGGGACTTTCTTTGTCTGGATGAAAGTGGCAATGAAACTTGTCGCCAAATAGTTGCTCACAGTCCGGATGCTGGGCCGGATAGCGAGAATGACGAGGGCTGGGACTTTGATTTGGAAGCTGCCAGTTCCGCCAAAGCTTCCACAGAACTCAGCGGCTTCACAACACCTGCCAGGCTTCAGGGCCCGAGAAAGCTTGGGAGGCCTTTTGGGATCAGAGGAAGTCACGAATACAGGAGAAGCTTGAAAGAAGCAGCCGAACCTGATGAAATCAAAAGTGCTTCAGACAAGGCAAAATCTGTAAGACTTGAGAATTTGGCAAAGGCCAGGGAACAAAGACAGGTATACCAGGAAAAAAGAAGGCTCAGCTTTGGGTCAGATGCTGCAGCAACATCTTCGCGTCCTGAACGCTCAGCAAGTTTGGTTGTGCAATGTGCAGTTGATCCTAGTCCAGCAGTTGGGTCAGCTTTGCAAAGCAAATTGTTTGAGTCTGCGCTTTCAGTTTTCAATTCGGGACGTTGCAAAGACCTCTGTGTTGGCCCAGCCGCTCCTGACAATGCCATGCACTCTTTTTCAAATCAGCTGTTGACAGGCAATAGCAAATGCCAGCCTGATTGCCAAGGCCAAGGCGTTGAAGCTGACGTCGATGACTATCAAAAGTCCATGGCTCACTTTTTCCAGCCATATCGGGCCTATTGTTCATTGACCAGGGATGCCGATGGCTTGGGGGTTGACCGCTGGCAGATATCCAAAGTTATGGTGCGTTCAGCTTGCGCTTTCAAAAATCTTGCAGGCAAGCTTTGGGGCAATTTGATGAACCACGTCCAGACCCTTTTGGATTCATCGCACAATGGTTTGATGATTGTTTGCAAGCTCAGGTTTGACGAGACACCAACCAAGATCACAGTGGCAGATTTATGTAGCCATGACATGCCAAACCCCGACCAGCAGAAGGCAGGGAAAGCCCAGTCCAGGAAGCAGGTGTGTAAACTCCTGCAGACGGAGGTCAGTGTCGGAGTGCTGTTGCAATGCAAACTCACAAAGAAGGCAACCTTGTTGACAGGAAGTTTGCCTACGCCGCTACAAATCCTGGACAAGCAGACTGCCCGCAATCTCAACTGTGCTTTGGAAGCTTCAATAGCTCTTCCCAACTTCGAAGAAGTGGCAGCCCGATTTGAAAGGAAAGTCTTTTTGTGTTGTGCCGATGAGTTTGCTTCCAATGAGCCTGCCCAATTCGGACTGCAGAGCTCGAGAACGGGTTGGCAACGTATGGCAACCCTTTGTGACATCCACAAAGGTTCCACTGTGCAAGGCAGAGTCTTTGATCTGAGCGGGCCAGCCATCAGTGCAATCATCAACTTGGGCTTATCCATGTCGCCTGCGGGGTCAATTGGGAAATTGCAGACTCTGTTGACTAAGATCATCCGATCCCGTTTCCAGTTGCGAATTGGAAGCCCTCCTTTCAGACCAGATGTTCTAGCCTACAAGAAGGCTGTGTTTGACCTGTTCTTCAAAGTGCCCGATTCCTTTTCCATGCAGGTGGCATCTTCGGTTTCAACCAAACAGCGCTTGAATTATGGCCAGAAGCTTCGACGCAGGGCAATCCTTGAGCATTTTTGCAATGGCGACATTCGCTCTGAGCAGATTGTGCATTGGGCTCCTGCTGGCCAATACGCTTCCGAGAAGCATGCAGAAAACGAGTTTGTCAAGTATGTGGTGCCAGCTCTCATCCCACATGGGATGCCATTGTTTCCGAGGTCTAGGTGGTTTGGTGCCGATGCCTCACTGGATTACATTGGGGTCCTGGCTTGTACGCATTGTGTTCTGGAGCCTTTGATGGAGGCATGGTGCGGAAAGGGCAGTGCAGTGGCAAGTGAAATTGGTGATGGCAACACTGGCGAGGCAGAACATGAATCGGGTTGGGAAGCTTTATGCAACCTTCAGACCAAGAGCCAGCCTTCGAACCTCAGTTCCCAAAAGCCACAAGTGTCACAAGACAACAGTGTGGAGCATCCAGATGAACAAGAGCAAGAGCAGGTACCTGTCCTGCCGCTTGACTTTCCAAAAGATGGTGCTGAAGGAGTTGGCGATGACCCTTCAGCTTTTGATTGGCACAGCTACCATGACAAGCTTCGAACATCTGTGTTTGATTGGCTTTTCCGAGCTCGAGGCCCCAGGCCTCAAACCATGGTGTGCTTGATGCGGCAGTACATGGAACCTATCCTGAAATTGATGACAAAGTTTCTCTATATATCAAGCCAAAAATGGGAGAAGGACCAGTGGATTTCTTGCTGCCAGACTGGGGAGCGCAACTTCCGAATGCTTTTGGCTTGCATCGGCAAGGATACAGAACTTGTGTTTGCTTCAGCTGCTCACCTCATGAAGTCCCCTCCTGTGGCTTTGGCAGAAGTGGATTGGCGACAAGATGTCAGCGTTCTTGCTTTCACAATGTTGTCGCGATTGGTTTGTGCGACCAAGCAGTTGATTCACTGGCGGCATTCCAAATACCCTTACAAGTTGTTCTCAGCTTTGCAAGGGCCAGAGTTGGCAAACAAAGTTTTCCATGATCCGCCGTGCTTGAAGGATGAAATCACTTTAGCCTTGTGTTCCCAATTCACTGAGGAAGAATTTTGTGCAGACCAGGGCGTTTGCCGCTTGGTGATTGAAGCTTTGGCATTGCTGGCTGAGACAGACATTGGCCCCATCGAGAGGCAGCACACAATCAGCAGAAGGGTCGTCCAGTCTCGGAGCCTTGCCAACCCAGCAGTGACATTGAAATCGCTGTCAGCTGATTGGCTTTTGAGACAGGGGGCCCAAAGAAGGGCAAATTTGATGTCTTATTTCTTCTTTGATTCCTCTGCCACACGAAGGAAATTCAACAAGTTTGCCAAGCAGAGAAAATGTGTGCGAAAGACACAGCAGAAGAAGAAGAAGCGAGGCGGTGGTGGGGGTTGGAGAGCATTTTGCTCTGTTTTTTTGAAAGGCCAGAAAGGGACGCGAGACAGGTTCAAACGAGCCAAAGCGGCATACTGGGCGTTGCCAGAAGATGAAAGGAAAAGATACCGGTTGATTGGAGAATTGGCAACCAAGAGCCACAGAGCTGGCTTCAAACCTTTTGGAAGCAGGGAGTCCCACAGAATGATTCAATCAAATTCTGAAATTGCTGTTCCACCTGCAGGGCGTCCTAGTCCTAGCCCACCACAAGCGGAACCTGTGTCAGCCCTTGAAGCATTGGCGCCTGGCTCTCTTTCTTCTCACCAGCACATGTGCGTGTTGGACCCTTCTCAAGATTTGTTGGACAAGTTGAAGGAAATCAAGAAAAAGGTTTCCCAAAGGTCAGCTGAAGAGGCACAGGACCGAGAGATTGTGGTTGCAAATGTTGCTGCATTTTTGAAAGGGGATGCCCTGGTGCAACCTTCGGAGCTGGCTGACAGCTTCATCAGCAGAGGATTTCAAGATCACGCAGAGCAGTCGGAGCTTCCTTTCAAGAACAGCAATTTTTTTCCAAGGCCTTGTCCCTTGCCTTGGGTCGAATGGCTGCCACCAGCGGATGTCTTTGCTCAGGCATGGTCTTGTTTGCTCACTTGGCTGTTCCTTTTTGTTGGGGCCGGATGACCTAATGACCTAATGACCTAATGATGACTTAATGCAATCTATGAAAGTTCCATTTTTGGGCTGAGCATGGCTGAGCCTATATACTATATACATATACATACTTACTATATTCAAAGGAAGTTAGTTAGGGGGAGAAACTTCCGTGTTACGGACTTTTAGAATTTTAGAATTTTAGAATGTCAGGGAAAGAGTTAGTCAGGGAAAGAGTTAGTGAGGTAAAGAGTTAGTTAGGGAAAGAGTTAGTGACTGAAGGAAAGAGTTAGTGAGGGAAAGAGTTAGTGAGGGAAAGTGAGGGAAAGAGTTAGTGAGGGAAAGTGAGGGAAAGTGAGGGAAAGAGTTAGTGAGGGAAATAGTTGGAATTCCATTGTGATTTGCAACTGTAGGATCGTTCCCGCAATGTAAATGGGATTGCAAGTGGTGCTGGTGGATGAGTTGCCAATGGAATTCCATGGTGATTTGCAACTGTAGGATGGTTCCCGCAATGTAAATGGGATTGCAAGTGGTGCTGGTGGATGAGTTGCCGACGGAGTTTTGAAGGAAGTCTCGCACGAAATGCGGTTTTGAGAGATAGCAGATGCACGAAACCGTATGTTTTTCCATACAAAGCCTGTCCCCTAACCTCAGTGATTTGTCAGCAGATTTTCTCCATTTTGGCGCTAGTGTGACTAGTGATTTTCCTTCTAAAAATCCTTTTAAAAAGTGCTTCAAAATCGTCTTTTTTTCGCTCTGGCGTCGAGATCCGGGTTTGGAGCCGCTACAATCTACAATTTCCGACGCCGTTGCGCGTAGTTCTGTTGTGTTTTGCAACTCAGTCTCTGCAGATCGCGTCAAGGTTGCTTCCTGCTTTGGCTGCATGTCATTACGTCACGTCTTTTGCAGCTGGACTTTGTAAATCGTATTGAGTCGTATTGGAGTGGCTGCATGAAGGCTGCGACAGTGATTTGTCAGCAGATTTTCTCCATTTTGGCGCTAGTGACTAGTGACTAGTGACTAGACTAGTGATTTTCCTTCTAAAAACCCTTTTAAAAAGTGCTTCAAAATCGTCTTTTTTTCGCTCTGGCTTCGAGATCCGGTTTTGGGGCTACAATGGTAATTTTCCTGTTGGTTTGGTGCAGCTAAAGGGGTTAAAAAGGGCGACTTTTTTGTGCCCAAAAAGGCTTCCAAAAACAGAGAAAAAGTCGCCCCCCAAAAACCCCAAACCAACCGGAAAATTACAAGGCTACAATTTCCGACGCCGTTGCGCGTAGTTCTGTTGCGTTTTGCAACTCAGTCTCTGCAGATCGCATTGTAATTGATTGTAATTGTAATGATTATAATGGCTGCGTCAAGGTGGCTTCGTGCTGTGGCTACGTTCGTAATACTAGTGTCTTTTGCAGCTGGATCTCGTAAATCGTCTTGGAGTGGCTGCATGAAGGCTGCGAAATGGATTTGTTAGCAGATTTTCCTGATTTTGGCGCTATTTTTTTTGTTGCACTTAGGGTTAGTTTAGAGTTTAGAGTCTAGAGTCTAGAGTTTAGAGCAGTGTGAAGTGTGGGGCGTGAAGAGTGCAGTGTGAAGGAAGCAGTGGGAAGTGAGAAATGTGAAGTGTGAAGTGTGAAGTGTGAAGTTTCAGTTTGGAGTGCGAAGAGCGCAGTGTGAAGTGTGAAGTGTGAAGTGTGAAGTGTGAGGTTTGGAGTGTGAAGGAAGCAGTGAGAAGTGAGAAGTGTGAAGTCTGGAGTGTGAAGTGTGAAGTGTGGAGTGTGAATTTGGAGTGCGAAGAGTGCAGTGTGGAGTGTGAAGTTTAAGTTTGGAGTGCGAAGAGCGCAGTGTGAAGTGTGAAGTGTGAAGTGTGAGGTTTGGAGTGCGAAGGAAGCAGTGAGAAGTGTGAAGTGTGAAGTGTGGAGTGTGAAGTTTGGAGTGCGAAGAGTGCAGTGTGAAGTGTGGAGTGTGGAGTGTGAAGACTTTGCTTCGTCGCCCGCTGAAAAAAAAAGCCGCTTGTCGAGGGAAGGACACGGTCGGGACAGGTTGTCTTTGAACTAACTATAGTAACTAGTAACTAGTAACTAGTAGTAACGTAGTAACGTAGTAACTATAGGTCATTTATTATTGGGAAACTTCCCCCGCCGGCTTGCCCGGGTCTATGTTACTTAGTTACTTACTATACTATGTTACTGTTATTGTTTAATTTAATAATAATTTAATACAGTATACTTTTCTATTTTTCATAAATATATGTGCTTATATGTAAATACACAAATAGAATATTGAAAAACAATAATTTTACTATCTTGAATTATTATGTTGTCTATAAAATACATGTATATATTTACAGTTTGCAGCAGCCGGCCCAACAAAGGCAAAGGTAAGTTCAACTAAGTTGCACAGCTCTGATTTAACAACGCCAGGTGCTAGCCGCTAGCAGCTAGCAGCTTGAAATATATACCGTAAAAAAAAGACTCTCAGGCTGACATTGTGGCGCCCGCTAAGGTTTGAGCTAGTTAGTCAGTATCTCTGTATTGTGTTGGTACCAAAGCATGATTTCACCCATGGTGTCAGGCAGCGCTGCATGGGATGCCAACTACTGCCAAGACAGGCTTGCATGGCAAGCTTGACAAAGATTGGGACAACAGGCACCAGATTTTCTTTGACCACATGGCGCCTCCAATCTTTGGACAAAGGACGCCAAAGGGCAAAGCGGTTTTTGTCCCATCCAAGTGCATGAAGCTGGGTTTATGTGTTTGCAGAGACGGTCATGGGAAACAAGCTTTCCATTTTACCATGAAACTGGTAGCAACACTTCGTCCGCTCTTCAAGAAGGGAAGCTTGGAAAAACGCAAGCTTGAAACTGGCTTGGTCGTCCTTTGCTTCCGGAGGGTGGGGTATGATGAGACGCCTTTGTTCTACCACCTGGGCTATTACAATTTGAAGACCTGGTGCTTTTCACTTCTGGAGTTGGCGGTTGATACCAGGACTCCATCAAAACCCTCAAGGATTCCCTTGCGGGTGGCTGATCAGCAAGATGGGTTGGCTTCTCCATTGCACGGCGTCTCTGTGGCAGTGCAGGCTTTTGCACTGCTGGACTTGCTCTCGTCTTTCACATGCAACGTGTGCTACATTGTTAGGAGCAATGACACTTTCTTCAATGGCAGTGACATGATACCAGAACGTGTTGAGATTGATGGTGGCTTTGCAAGCGATCCCAGTTCTCACGTTTTCCTGTGGAAAGGATGGGACGAGGAGAAACCAACATCCAGAAGACCTCCGAACAGAAAGAGGCCAAACCCAGATGTGAGCCGGCCAAAGGCTTCCAAAAGACAGACTCAGACCCGAAGGCCTCCTGATGAAACCAAGGAAGAAGAACATGTTGAAGAAGATATCATCTTTGGCAATGATCAGGATGACCCTGAGCCTGAACTTTTTGATGGGGACGGTGAAGACAATTTTTTGGAGCGCATGCTGGACGATTGGAATACAGACTATTCGCCCGGCAGCATGGCTCCAGATGATCTGTTGGAGGAAGATGATGTGGCTTGTGAGGACAGTGGCGATCCATTCCGGCTTGCTGCTGGTGAGTGGCTTGAGCAAGCTGAAGCGGATGACTTGATCGAAGAGCCTCAGATCGACGTTCTTGAGACAGTCCAACAGGGAGATGTTGGTCCATCTCAGCCAGACACGGTTGATCCAGTTGGCCCAAGCCATGTTGCAGACCATGCAGATGGTGACAAGGCATCCACTTCTTCCAGCAGCAGCAACTCTTCAACCAGCAGCAACTCTTCAAACAGCTCTGAGGCTGAACATGATGCAGCGCCACCCACAGTGAAGCCCAAAGAAGATGTCCAAGCTGGAGCTCGGGCTGAAAAGGACACTGATATCCGCATTGAGGTCAATGAGAATGGATCGATACGGTACAACGTCAAAACTGCCAACCTTGTGGCTCATTGCTCATATCATTCTGGAAATTGCAGAAAGACAAGGACATCAAAACCCAGTGCCAAAGGCAGCAGTGCACAGGGAAGACCTCTAGGTCTCTTGACCGCTTGGTTGGAAGATGCTGCAAACTTTGCAGATGCTAAGAGCCACAGTGGCCAGTGCGCTCCTAATCTGTCAGCTCGGAAGCTTGGCCGAGCGAACTTCAAACTTCTATCTGGCTCAGATCGTTTTCTGAATTACGAAAGGAAACGCAAAGAAGGTGAACCTGAAGAACCAACAGCTGCTCCGTGACCATGTCGATTGATTGGCTCTGAAGATCACAGGCCTTCATGTGGCAGGTTGCTGGTGAGACAAGGTCTCAGAAGGAGAAAAACACTTGAGCGCATCATCATCGTTTTGGAAGACCGCTGTGGGTCCATCTTTGTAGGTATACAGTATACTCTATACTCTATTCTATACTTCACTTACAACTTCATCGGATATTGTTGAAACCTTTCTTATCTCAAGCGCTTCGCTCTGTGTATATAAATTGAATAAATATACACATATAGTTTTAGGTTCTATGTTTCTCTCTCCTTTTTGTCGCTCTATCTTGTTGTTTTTTGTTTTGTGTACACATGCCATAGGTCAGAGGCCCATAGGCGCCAGGCGCTAAACCAGTACAGATAGATCATGAGATACCAATGGCTTCATAGCTGTGATGACAAAAGTCAGGAAAGGAATTCCTTTGCCAATTCGGGGCAACGGTGATGTGATCCTTCTCCAGGATTTACATCATCTTCGTCAGGAAGGACTGCGGGGACAAGGACACAATCAAGGCCATTGCCAGAACCATCCAGGACTTTTGCAACCGCAGTGTTATTTTTACATCACAGTTAAAACTGCCTTGTTCCTCTAACACAGATGGACAATGTTTAACCAAGCCGATTCAGTGCATTTGGTCCGAAGACTGGTGAAGTGATTATTGGACGATGTTGTGTTTCTCCAATTGTTGTGCTCAGTCTTTGCCATAGCAGTAGCAGCTAGCTAGCAGCTAGCAATAAAATAGAACACCAAATTTATATATAGGTATAGGCATTCTCAAAATGGAGGGGCCCCAAATGCAATTTGAACATCAAAAAAAATTGAGTTTTGGGCCCCCTAGAATGGAGAGATACACATATCATACCATACCAGTTCCATATCCAACCTATTTTGTCTCAAACTGCGGATTTAGAGCGATATCAGCAGCGCTTAGGTCCCAGGAACCTATAAGCACGTCAAACTTGTTGACAGCGCGGCAACTAACTACAGTATCTGCAGCAACTACAGTGACTACAGTTTGCAAGACTTGAGGCGCTACCATTCCACTTGCAGCGCTTAAGCCCCCACGACCTAAGCACATTGGCCTCTCCACTACTGAAATTGAAATCAAGTTGGCAAACGTACTTTGACTGGCAACCGCACAAAAACAAAGCCAAGAACACACACAGAGACAAACCACTAGTCACTGGTCACTAGCAGCCGAGTGGGCTTGCTATATTATATCGTGATATTATATAATGTGGTACCAAAAAAACATTGACATCTATGTGATCCAAAATATCATCCAGGCATCGCTTTCAGGTTCACGACATTTTTCTTTCCTATGTCATTGGTTTGGAAACGAGCTGTTGTATCACTATTGAATTAGCAAACCACACACACATATATATATATATAATATAATGGCAGGTTTTGGTTCCAAACAAATTGCAGAGCGGGCTTGGTCCAAATACATACTATATTCATAATATCATGCATATATCAACAAATATATTCGAATCATGGTTGTGTGACCTTGTATGAAGAAAGAATTCAATGTCTATTTTGGAAAGAGAACGTTGCAGGATATCTGACACAAAATGTCAATATGACATTTGTCATATGTTATATGCTTTGTTTCATGTCATACTTAGTTTATATATCCCATGTCCGTTGTGCAACATGCAGGACATCACGCAGCTCCGTGCCGAGTTTCCACCCAATACCTGGATGGATTTGCTTTTGCCGCCGGGCGACCAGCTTGACCAGGAGATGAAACACTACTTGAACTGGATGCGTGTTTCTCATCAGAGGACATTGTTACATTGTTGTCAGCATGAATATGAAATACAAATGACAAATATAAACGCTATAAACGACGGTTTTGGCAGTTCATGTTTCCTGTTGCCTACATTCTGAGTAGGTCAGCGTGCCACATGTCAAAACAACATGTGTCATTCATCGATGTGACGGCAACAGAGCAAAGCAAAACATGTCAATATCTTTTTTCAAACTACGCGGCCTTGGTTTGGGTATCAGTAACAGGCGTTGTATAAAGTATAAAATATAAAAATTTACGCAAAAGAAAATTTTACATTTTGGGAACCACAGCCTGGGAGAGTCAGTGGTGACGAACGACTTGACTAGCTAGCTAGCGGCTAAGTTGGTACTTCCATTTGCTGCTGTTAGTTGCAGATTAACAGATGTTATTGCCGTTTACTTCTATGCCTTTGCAAAGCTGGGCGAACCCCCAGCAACAACAACAAACGACAATATACTTTAACTGTATATATTATATATATTTTCTTTCACTGCGTGTCTCAAACTATGATATGTTTGGTGCAGCTAGTCAGCTTCTTTTTGCTTGCGAGCTTGAACTTGTTAGTATGTGTCTTGGGCTTAAACACCTCATATCCTAAACCCTAAACCCTAAACCCTAAACTATACGGTTTTATCTGCGGCAGCGTAAGGTACACATACTATCTTAAAACATAAAGAAACCAGTGGTAAAAAAATGAGTTTTGTACTTTGTATTTTTTTGTATTCATTTTGTATTTTGTATTTTGATATTTTGGAATTTGTATTTTCATTTGTATTTATGTTGTATTTCTTTTGCATTTATTTTGTATATTTTTTGTATATTACAAAAAAAACAAAAAAACAAAAAAAATACAACATGAAAATACAACTATGTTGTTGTATTTTTTGTATTTCTATGTTGTATCTTTTTTGTATTTTTGTTTTTTGTATTTTTCATTTTTTTGGTTTATCTCTTGTTTTGTATTTTGTTTTTTTTGAGATGTGTATCTCTTTGTCGGTGCATCGTCCTTCCAAACCTTAATATTCTTTGCATAGACACCTCTGGAAACTGGCTTACTGGACTTAGATTACAAGTGCCCATCTTCTGATTTGTTGGGAAACTATGTTGGTTTGCCAAGACAAAAGATTCCAAAGCAACATCAAATCCTCAAAGCGTTCCTGTGATTTTCACATGCCTCCAGCCCCAAGGGTGGTGATCGGTATTAGGCCCTAGGCCTATAAAAACTTAGCCGTAGCCATTGAGAGATTGTTTCCATTCCGGGTATGTCTTTGACACTAACTTAAAGTTTCCACAGTAGTTCACTTGATCTCGATGTAACTGTGCCTATCTGTAGGGGTTTTTACTATCCATTGGTTCATTAGTTTTTCATAAGTTGGGGTCACATAGGACATAAAAGCAATATTCCAGTGTTTGTAGATTTCATTTTTTAGTCTTCTGCTCCCATGTGTCACCAGGTTGGAAACACTGACAAGGAGGAGACACATGGGCGACTGAAGCAGTGGGAGAGAGATTCTTTGAGCTGGCGTGACAAGCTTGGAGTGAGTCCAAACTATGCTCCTTGGACAGGCCAGGCAGGCTTCACGGCAGTCCCAGGATTGAATTTGACCCCCAGGATCAAAGACCTCATGGATTGCGTTGTCATTGACAGGATGAGGTCAAAGGGCCAGAATTTCAGTGACACGAAAGCAGAAATGCGAGATGTGTTTCTTGACGTGTCGCAGTCTCATGTGCGCAAGTGTTTCACCATGAACACTGTCAACAAGTGTTTGACAACGTCCTCAGTCCTTTACTCATTTGGGGCAGGGCGCATAGTCTTGCCTAAGGAAATGCTGTGGTTTCAAGGATATCCGAAGAGCGTTCGAATGCCTTCTACTGTGTCTCCATCAGACCTTCGAACTTTTGTCGGTGAGGGCATGTTCTTGCCAAGTGTTGCAACTGTCCTTTACAGCTTGATTTTGCATGTGCCAATGATGGATTCCGATTTGGCTGAGTGCAATTTCAATGCCAGCAGTGGCAACAGACCTCCGAAGGCATCCAAGATGCGCACAGAGTGAGGCGATCTTGGGTCCGGTAGCTGAAGGACACAAGGCCCCGGTCACATTGCCGCATTGCCATTCAAAACAAATTAACAGAGCAGACATTCCAATTTGTTTGCTTCCAAACATGATTTCGTCCCAGCATGCAGTCAGCCTAGATTCCTAGATTTAGATTCTTTGTGGTACTGTACATAGCACAGACATACAACGGTATCCTAGGTATGCCCAGGCCAAAGCATGAGCTATCGATGTTCATTTGAATTCCAGCCCTCAAATTTACAACATATCAATTCAAGATCATCTAGTAGGCCTTTAGGGGGGGCCTTTAGGGCCTTTAACAGCATTTATGCTATTTGTGAAGTTCTCTGAAAAATGACTTAATGATTCATTCTTTTGAACTTCAACTTTGAGATTTAGAACTGTATGACTGTATGACTGCAGCAGTATGATTGTTTATGTCTAAGTCTATGTGTTGTTGCGGTTTTGTATTTTTGAGTGCGGTTCAAACTCCATGTCAATTGGTTCCAAACTGGAGAGATCAGGGAATTAAAGAACATAGTAGCCGGATACATTCGGTCCAGCAACTCATGACCAACCAAGAGATATGCATGCAAGTGGGTTGTTGAATATTGATTGCCCAAACCCATGATAAGCATATTGTCTTATTTGAGGGACAACCATTATTATTGTAGAGCCAAAGTGTTTGTGGAAAACCAACATCTAGGCCAACAGCTACCTCTTGACCAGTGTCTTTTTTTTGAGGGCAACCGTTGACCGTCATAGGTTGCAGGGGCCTTTCTTCAGCCAGTGACAGTGTTGCGAACCACAGCCAGGCTTCGAGTCAAGCAGGTTGATTCGAACCCATGCGTTTTTTGGGCAGAGCTTTTGTAATCAGAAGCGCAGTTGAGCGCAAAGAGCAGTCGTGAAGAGATCTGAGTGCATGAGATCACGGTTTCGATTGTCAGCACACTTAGGCTTAGACTCAGGCTATCACCTGTTGTGTTGACATGGCAAAGAAACATTTGGTTATGGTCTTGGGAGTCTGACCTTAGTTCCTTTCACCTTGGCCGCAAGGCTTGGAATGGCCTAGCATTAGTGACGAAGAGGTTAGTAACGGTTATATGGTAACATAGAGAAACACAAACACAGGTCCCGGACACATGGCTAGATAGAATCATGTAAGAGCTAAATAAGTCCCTTTGAAATGCCAAGCCCAAACACTGGAAGCCTGTTCCAAGGATGGGTGCCCAAGACGCATGGGAGCCAGCGGATAGCCGCATCTAGATGCTCAGTCAAGCGCAAGGCCCCCAATACTTCACTGGTTCACGAGTGTCACTAGTGTATGGCATGTGTTGTCCATACCAGAACAAAACACAGGTTGTCCAGTTATCACTAAAACTTACCATCAGTTCAACACTTTGTTTGAACCTTCTTCAAAGACAAGACAGTACCCAATACACATTAAATGGTTGGGGTTGGCTTTTTGTCGTATCGGTTGAATTGCAAAGGAATTGTGAAGCAAGTGCATAGACCGGTAATTGTTGTTCTTTGAAGCCTACATAGGGGTTCCAACTTTGGTAGGAAACGTCCAGCCTTTCCAAGATTCTCACCCTGACGTTCGGTTGTACATGTCCATTATTGGCAACTTTTGTAGTTTGCGCTTGACAATGGGACCTTGTCAGCATGAGTTTCTTCCGTTGTGCATACGATTGCAACACCACATATGACAACTTTTCAAAGAGTGCTCTGTTCATAATGATGATTATTAATGTGTGTTTCTTGTTTGTGATGTGGGGTTCTCTGAGCAATTTTGAAAGGGAATCATGGCTTCAGCGCTTTAGCCATTCTTGTGTTCACGCGAGCTGCTGGCTGGCCATTCTGCCAGCTAAGGACAGTTATTTTCGATGCTGTGTTGTAGTGCAGTGTAGTGAAGACCTGGCAGGGGTCAAATGCCAGACTTCACATCCGACACCGCTGTTAGGCCTGCCTCCAGATTGTGACATCAGTTGGCATCAGCGCGTAGTAGGGAAAAGTCACAGCTTTGTTTGTTGTGTCAACACTTTGAACTTGGACCTTGGTCCTTGGTATTGTGCTTTCTCTTTGCACAATGGCCATCATCATTACAATGTTTGCTTGATGTATAGGTCCGGTATAAGGCGGCTTGGATTCTTTCAATCTGATGAATCTGTTAATCTACTTATTTATTCTTCCAACCAAGCTGCACTGTTGTAATGCACATTCGTATTTTGCGCTGTACGTTCTCAACAGCTCTTTCCATCCAGTCAGAGGAGTGAGTGCGTGCATGCTGGTGAAACCAAAAGCTGAAAGGATTTTGGCTCGTAGCCTTTTTTGGTGGCTTCACCGTGAACGGCTGGTGGACTCTCTGGCCCTGAGAGCCTGAGCAGCCTGAGCATGGCTGCCTCATCATCACGCAAGGCAGTTTCATAGTGTTGGGGAGCTGCTGTTTTGCTAGTGTCAGTGGTAGTTGGTGCTGCTAAGTCTTCTGCAAGAATTCTGCGAAATAACTCACCTTCCAGAATCATCGAGAACCGTAGTTGGGGTCAGGATTGAATCATTGGCCCATTGGGTTTGTTGATTTTTTGTGCGAAGCAAACCATACTAACTGTACCAGTTACTGTAATATACAATACTATACTGTAACACTTGTGTATGGGACGTTGGTTTATATATGCATATGTTTATGTATATATGTATATATACATGTGCCGCACGTGATGTGATCACAACCCAAGTTCCACAATGCTGACTACCAGTAAGACTCAGTAAGATGCCAGGACCTTGAGACCGCTGTCGCCATCTTACCCACTGCGACTTGTTTTCGCTGCAAGCGCAAAGTTTCCCAGGAGAACAGTCTGCTTTGAAGTGTTGCGCTAGTTGTAAGTTTCTTTTTGGCAGATTTCTAAAAGGGCTGTTGTAGGGTCGGAAATCAAAGCCAAAACCTAAAGAGACAAACAGGTGGGTCTATATGGGATGGACAAATTCCAACATGGACCTACATATATATATTATTTATTTATATGTATATTTATCTTATATATTATTAAACGAGATATTGTATTGATTTTGTATTATATTACTATATATTATATGTCTAGTCACAGTCCATATCAATAGCCCATGCCCCAGTGCTGTGGATGCCTTGGGCCGATAAGCTTTTCATAGACGGGGTCACTGGGTTATCCCAGAAGAGCTTCAGGTTTCAGTTTCTAGGTGGTTGCCACCTCTCAACACTGTTCGCAGGAACTTCGCTTTGCTGCTCCAGACGGATGCCAAGAGTGCTACCAGTGTGCCTATGATGCATTCCCTTTCTGGACTTGGACAACCTTCTGCTGTTCATATGCTGACTCCGCTGTCACACAGAGGGCATTTGGAGATGCTTGGGCGATTCAGCATGATGGCGCCAGTCAGAATTTCAAGACGCGTGGTGGTGTGAGTTCTCATGACATGGTTGGGGTCACAGTGGAGAAATCCTACGCCGCCATCACAGAGTCTGAGTTTATGGAAATCTTCAGGCCGTTTCCTGATTCCTGAGCAGTGGTTTGACTCAGCAGTTAAGCATTACCATCATCCCTGTGCACACAAGCCACATCTAAACTGTAACTAAAATTAAACATCTTTGGATGCAGTGATGCTTTTGGGGCATCTTACTATCTGATACTATTGTTCAAATGCCTTTTGCTCACTCATTCTCTACTCTAATTATGTCTGAGCCTGTGTATTATGTATGTCTCTGTTTTTGTTTGCAGCATATAATGGATAAGGCTGCCCCACGTAAAAGACCCCACAAAATGCAGCAGTCAAAGCCTATATGCCTATCTATGAATCTATCTATCTATCAATCTATCAATTCATCCATCTATCTATCTGATCTCTTTCTCATTTTTATCTATTTATCTATCTGTTTATCTATGACTATGAGTCTACTATGTATCTATCTACTTACTTACCAATATTTATCTTCCTATACCTATCTACTTATCCCGATCTGTAGAATATGAATATGAATATATATAAAAAAGTATAACAGTATAACTATCTAACCTAATCTAATCTAACTTGCTCTACCAGTGGGGGTCTGTGTGGCGCAGTTGTTAAAGTATGCACTGCAGAACTGCGCCATGCACTGCCATACTTTTCAATTGGCCCTGTGCGGTTTGCAGGCTCCCCTCTGAGAAGTTTGACGACTTCCTTGTGTCAGCCACCCTGAACGATGAGTGGGGAAAGCAGCAGAAGTTCCTCATCTTTGAGCTGCCCCTTCCAGGAGCCTCTTGCCCCATCAACTTCCGGATCGCAAAGTTCTTCAGCTCCCACGACCTCACCCACAGCCATTTGTTGTTAGAGCCAGAGAAGATGATTCGTCGTGAGCAACCTGCAGAGCGCTACCAAGTCTTGTGCGAAGCAGAGAACAAGCAACGCAAGGAGAATGGTGGAATTGGGCCTCAGCCCCCTGCTGGAGGCGCCAAGAAGCCCAAGAAGTTGATGTCTTGGCAGGAGATTCAATTGAAAGTTGAGAGTGTGATCGCCAACCGAGAGCAAAATGAAGCCGAGGCCCATACAGAGGAAAGACCTTTGGGAAGCAATGTGGCGGAGAACGACCCCGCAGCCCTTGTGCACATCGACACCTTGGAGGAAACTCTGCGTGCGCCGGGGGCTGTGGAGCCCAAGAGAAAGGCGAAGGCGAAAGCAGCTTCAGGCAAAAGACATGCCAAAGCAAAGGCGGCTCCTACTCATACTATACCTCCACCTCCCACACCTTTGGAGACAGAGAGCCACGGCGCTTCCCCAAGTGAAGCCGCCGAAGATGAGCTGGCCGCTCAAATTTGCAGCAAGATTGGTGGAGATGGCCGTGCAGTGCGCAACCTTGACATCCAGAAGATCCTTCAAGGAGAGCAAATCGGCAGAACTTTGCAGGGAGCATCTTGGTTTCAATTGGGCTTGAGGCTTGTGTCTGTGGAAGGGGGTTAAGTCTTGAGTCTTGAGCGGTTCCCCTAGTTAGCCCTAGTTTTTGATTGTAAAGATATTCGTTCAAGCACCAGCTGCATCACTAAAGGTATTTGAATTACTGCTGCTGCTGCTGCTGCATGCAAAGCGGAATAGAAGTATGTATAATATAGTATAGTATATAGTACATAGCATGGAATAGTATAGCAGCCAGTTACTATTACTACAGTAGTCTATAGTGCGTGTTTTTAAATAGCTTTAAGGGAAGTCTGCCAGGACAATAATGAAATACCATATTCAATTGAAGGCTGAACGGCTGAAACACATCAGGTTTTTCCCATCTTTTTGCCGTCTTTGCCTTTGAATGGCACAAATATAGTTCAGAGCGAACCTCCAGCCCTTAGGCCCTAGGCCTAGGCTCTAGGGCCTCTAGGTCTAGGTATGCAAGACTCCAGAGTATAAAGCCCATATATATATAACAAGAGAGAGAGAGAGATATATATATATGTACTCATATTGTCCGAATATAGATGGTGCTAGGGATCATGGCCAGTGGGCGCCCAGGCTCGCCGGATCTTGGCCTCATTGGAAGCCCAGTCTCATGGCCGAGAAGCCTTGCTTCTGCAGAAGAGGTTGCGCTTGTGTGAGCATGCCCAGCATCTGTTCGAGAGAGCCCACAGCATGCCTGGCAACGAGCTCCACAAGGTTCTCCAACCGTTGTACGATGATGGAGTTGACTTTCCTTTGCCTTTGCAATGCAAGCTGGTTTCCAGACGTTGCCTAGAGTGTTTGCAGCAGAAAAACCACAAGGTTTTCTTGACCCATTGGTGCGTTTGGCAAACGGCAGTGGACAATCAAGGTGACTTCGACCCGTTGCGACCAATGATGGCTGCAATCTTCAACCAGTTGTCTGATGCCCAGGAGGCGTTTGGCAAGAAGGTTCATGAGGAGGAGTTTGAGACAGAGGTGGCAAAGGAAACTGCTGAGGGCGGATTGGTCACGAATTGGAAGGTAGGGTCCTTTGGTGTTGTTGGTTTGTGTGCCTGGGCCCTCTAGGACCCTAGGAATTTAGATTTAGACTTAGACTCTAGGCTCACTCTACACTCTAGACTCTAGACCTTGGAAAGCAAGTACGCTTCTCAAGTTAAACTTCTTTATGTGCCAAACCTATAGATAGATGCCAAATTTAGGAGCAGTGTGACGACATAGTGACATGACGTAAAGGTGTTTGTTTGAGTTTGTGATACATATAAATAAACATATATATTTACTACCATTATATATAGATATATGTGACTTAAAATCATTTCGATTTCAGAAGGAACTCTGGATCCACCATCATCGCCTTTGGAAGCGTTTGTTTGTGCTTCAAGGTTAGCAGCACAATGACATGTAACCGAACGATAGAATGCAACCTTTCTCTTTCCTAGCCTCAAACCAATCCACCGAACCTCTGGCTATTGCCAAATCTTTCTTTAGTGACAAACTCTATAAACGACTCAGGGCCACTGATCCTTCCAGGCGTTGGGTGGTTGCGTCGTTCAATCTGCCGTCAACGACTACTTCCTGTACTTGGTGAGCAGTGCCCCGAAGTTCAACGATGAACTCAAAGAGCTGCTCATTGTGGTGTTGACCGAATGGAAGAAGTTGGAAGCATCAGGTGAGAGCAAATCGTTTGAAGGGCCGCTGTCCCTTTGCCTTGGCCATGTTGTCCGATGCTTTCGAGGGCTCCTGGCTCTTTTGAGTTCTGATGTGGGCATCCTTGGCTCCCAAGGCTCAGATGTTGAAGCCGTTTCGAAGATGAAAAGGGCTCGCACTGTCAAAAGTGGGGTGGCTGGCAACATGCACAGCTGCGAGGCCGAGATCTGCCAGCTCATCAGTGCAAACGAGTGGTGGGGGAAGGCTGTGGACAGCTACTGGAAGTATGCCCCGATGGCCTTGGCTTTGAAGCCAAAGCTCGAGTTGGCCAAGCAGGAAGCTTCTGCAGAAGAGCATCCTGAGCTGACTACAGTGGCTTGGGCTTGCCTTAGCGCCAAATTGCTTTTCTTATTTAGCTTTGGGCCCATGGGGCCATGGGGCTCCAGAGGGGCAAGTGTAGTCAGATTTTTTTGTCAAATCATCAGTAGCATTTTGCAACTTGCAAACGAATTATAATACAATTGTATACAATTGTTACATACAGAAATTCTCCACGGTCGCTCAAATACTAGATCTTAGAAGTTTCCAACGCATTTATCTGAGTCTCAATCTAGAATTTACATTATTTACATCTTGAAAAATCGACCATTCCTTTTTTTGTGGGCAGGAGTGGCTGGAGCAAGCTGTGGAGACCCTTGCAGAATTCCGAAAGGGTTTGCCGCTGCGTGATGCTTACATGGAGTATGGGAAGTACCTCCAGGCAAGATTCGGAGAAGCTCACAGACTTGTTCTGAACGCCAAGGACGGGAAAGAAGTTGGAGATCTTGGTCTTGGCAACTCCTTCAGCACCCTGGTGAAAGGATTGGATCTGTTCCAGACCGCAGCCAGCAAGGAGATGAAGGAAAGCCTTCAAGAGTGGTTCACTGAAAAGAAGTCTGAGATGTTGCAGCAGGATTTGCTCCAAATCTTGGCAGAGGGATTGCCTTCCGGAGCCTTGGACATTGTTGCTTTTGCCGAGAAGATCAACCAGCTGAAGGGAGTCCAGCTCCACGACGAGTTGAGCAAAGAACTCGCTGCTGCAGTGCCGTTGCTGTTCGACGACTTGGTGAGCAAAGCTTCTCGTCTTACCATGCAGTTTCCATGTTGCTATCAAATTTTATCAGCTAGTTTGATTTGGTCATCAGATCCATCATTATTCCTCCTGGTCCTGATCTATCAGATCTCTGAATTTATCATAAAGGCACAACAAACGCTAGCCGCTAGCTGCTAGCTCAGCTAGTAAAGTAAAGTCGTCATATTGCCTTGTTGCATTCTGGGATCACAGCGGTGTCAGGGTTGGAACTTCTATTTCTATGTTCTATTTATGGTTTGTAGTGTTTCCTTATATCAAAGAATTTGTTCTTATTTTGATTTCATCATAAAATATATATTCAATAATATACACTTTTTTGGCGAAAAGGTTTGTGAAGCAATCCTATCAAACTTTTGGCCGACATATAATCTAGGAATCTAGGAATCTAGTAGATTCGAGATATATATATATGTGTGTGTGTTTTATATATATATTATATATATTATACTAATTAATTATAGTCAAAGGAAATTTAGGGGGAGAAACTTCCGTGTTACGGACTTTTAGAATGTCAGGGAAAGAGTTAGTCAGGGAAAGAGTTAGTGAGGGAAAGAGTTAGTGAGGGAAAGAGTTAGTTAGGGCCGAGTTAGTGAAGGAAAGAGTTAGTTAGGGAAAGAGTTAGGGAAAGAGTTAGTGAGGGAAAGAGTTAGTGAGGGAAAGAGTTAGCGAGGGAAAGAGTTAGTGAGGGAAAGAGTTAGTGAGGGAAAGAGTTAGTCAGGGAAAGAGTTAGTGAGGGAAGAGTTAGTGAGGGAAACAGTTGGAATTCCATTGTGATTTGCAACTGTAGGATCGTTCCCGCAATGCAAATGGCATTGCAAGTGGTGCTGGTGGATGAGTTGCCGATGGAGTTTTGAAGGATGTCTCGCACGAAATGCGGTTTTGAGAGCGGATGCACGAAACCGTATGTCTTTCCATACAAAGTCTGTCCCCGAACCTCTATGATCTATACCTGTGCGGTGCGACAGTTGTGAGACGGTCTCGTGTGTGGTCGGATCATGGTCGGATCATGTTCGGATCATGGTCGGATCGGTTCCGCATTGTAAATGGGGTTTCAACTGTTTTTCGTGCAGGTGCGGTCGACAGAATTCCATTGTGATTTGCAACTGACTGTAGTAGTAACTAGTTAGTAGGATCGTTCCTGCAATGTAAATGGGATTGCAAGTGGTGCTGGTGGATGAGTTGCCCATGGAGTTCCATTGTGATTTGCAACTGCTGTAGGACTGTAGGACCGTAGGAGCAAGTGAGCAAGTGGTGCTGGTGGATGAATTGCCGATGGAATTCCATTGTGATTTGCAACTGTAGGACGTAGGAACTGTAGGACTGTAGGATCGGTCCCGCAATGTAAATGGGATTGCAAGTGGTGCTGGTGGATGAGTTGCCGATGGAATTGTGATTTGCAACTGTAGGATCGTTCCCGCAATATAAATGGGATTGCAAGTGGTGCTGGTGGATGAGTTGCCGATGGAATTGTGATTTGCAACTGTAGGACACTGTAGGATCGTTCCCGCAATGTAAATGGGATTGCAAGTAGTGCTGGTGGATGAGTTGCCGATGGAATTCCATTGTGATTTGCAACTGTAGGATCGTTCCCGCAATGTAAATGGGATTGCAAGTGGTGCTGGTGGATGAGTTGCCGATGGAGTTTTGAAGGAAGTCTCGCGCGAAATGCGGTTTTGAGAGAGAGCAGATGCACGAAACCGGGCGCTCCGCTAGTGATTTTCCTTCTAAAAATCCTTTTAAAAAGCGCTTCAAATTATTATATTATTATATATTATTAATAGTTAATTTAATAAATAATAACATGTATATATATATATATATTTATATATATATATATATATGTGATATATTTTTTGTATTTGACCAGAGCCCCTGAGCTTTGGTCAGTGCAGTGTGTAGTCATGCGGGCAAGTGCAAGATTGCTTCGTTTTTGTTTGCACCTGGATTTGGCAATCTGCTGCTGAGGTTCAGCATGACCATTCCGCAGACAAAGCGCACTGGGACTTGTTTGCCTCAGTCCTTGTCTATGTGCCGCAGGCTGAGGTCAAGATCTTGAAGGTGGAGTGCGAGTGTGGCCATTTGGCTTCAGCCGCTCTTGGTGAGAAAGACGCTGTGTTGAATGGAATGGAGGACAGTGAGCAGAAGAAGCAAAAGAAACTTGTCTCCATGATCGCTGCCGTGAACCGTTACCTGTCTTGCTGCGACAAGCTGGATGAAATTGGCCATTTCGACCGCACCACTTCAACCTTTCGGCAGTTGCGTGGTGAGTTGTCCCCTGACAATGACGGGATCCAGAGTGCAATCACAGGCGTCATGGCTTTGCATACCAGGACCCTGCAGGCTGGCTTGGCTGAGCTCGAGACTTTGATGGAGCCAGGCAAGGATTGGAAAGCACGCCTGGCCCCAGATGCATCCTTGGAAGACACCATCTCGGCTGCTGAGACAACGCTCATGAGTGTCAAAGGCAAGAAGTTGTCCAACACCATCACCGCCGTGCAGAAGGCTTGGGAAGGGGCCATCTTCGGGCCGTTGCTGTTCCTCACCCCACACTTCCTGTTGATTCAACTATTATATTATTATATTTTCAATAACAAATAATACTATAAGTAACTATTTCATTTGTTGCCACTTTCATTGGTTATGGCTATGGCAATGGTTTGGCCAACGGTTGGCCATATGCTACTGTATGTATGTATGTATGTATGTATGTATGTATGTATGTATGTATGTATGTATGTCATATTATCATATGTTGCCTGTTAGCTGCTGGTAGCTTTTCAGTAATCCAGTTGTCACATGCAGGCGACATGCACTACACTACACTGTAGTAGATGCACAGGACTGTTCTGATGGATTTATTGGTTGGGGTTGGGGCGCTAGTTTCAAGTCTGATGGATGGATGATGTTACACACTTACATTTGAAATCATATTGAAAGGTATGGGAGGGAAACGACCAAAATCCCCCTCTGGCCAACTGGATTGATGAACCAAACCTGAAGTATTGCCAGGCCGACTATCAGGATTGTTTTTTCAAGTTTTGTATTTCTTCAGCAGTGTTCCTTTCTTGCCAGGACAATGATGATGCGAAAGCTTTCCTTGACATCTTCCAGGGCACCCCGTTCAAGGACACTACAGGTATTCGCGAGTTGGCTGATCTGTGCCAGAGGGTTGGGCAACTTATCGCTGATGGCTTGCTGGCAAAGGTGGAAGCGCTTTTGGTGCAATCCGCCAAAAGCAAGGTGCGCAAAACCCAAAAGGAGCTGGCGACCTTTGCCAACCAAGAGCAGACAGGTCATGAGTTGGATGAAAGCTTGATCCAGAGTTCGCTGCGTGAATTCTCTCGTGGCTTGTTGGACTAGGGTAGCTCAGGTAGCAGCAGCTACAGCGAGGGCATAACTGAGTCACTTCACTAAGTAACTACTAACTACAGTTACTACAGTATATTCTGGTCGCTTCGCGACGACAACCGCCCGCACCGGAGTGTTAGCTTCGGAGTTCCAATGAATAAAGCATAATAAAACCATATGTATCCATATGTGCTATGTTGGGCCTTTGTAGGGCGTATGTTGGGAGTATGTTGGTCCCATGATGGCTCTATGTTGGGCCTATGTTAAGGCATGCTGAACCATGTTGGCCCATGGTGGGCCTATGTTAAGGCATGTTGGGCTTATGTTGGGCCCATGTTGGGCCTATGTTGAGGCATCTTGGGGCATGTTGGGCCTATGTTGGGGTTATGTTGGGCCTATGTTGGGGCATCTTGGGCCATGTTGGGCCTATGTTGGGCCCATGTTGCGCCTATGTTGGGCCCATCTTGGGCCATGTTGAGCCCAAGTTTGGCAACTGAGCCAATTTCATGACCTTCTCAAAAATGTGGAAAAAACCCACGATTCTAGAGCAAAAATGCCCACCCCCCAAGCTAAAGCTTAAGGCTTAATGAGCTATTGCAATTGCTTACGGATCACGCGTGCCAACAAAAACGCCTCGGCACCTTCGGTGCGGGCGGATTTTTTCTTCTATTGTGGCTTTGCAAAACCGGTTGAGTCCAGTCCAAACCATCTTTGGATGTTTGTGCTGCCCTGAGCTGATCAGAGCTGACGCTGCAGCTGCGTTCGGTAGGCCCGATAGGCTTGGCTCCTTGCCAGGCCCAAGTTTTGTGACAACATTGCCATGAGGTCATTAGGGCCTCCTTATGGGGAACAGTTGAGACCGTTGAGACCCGGCTAGCAGCTGAAGAACGATTCCTGCTTGCTTAGGGGTCTAGTAAGTCTAGCTGTGAGACTGGGTTGCTACGGCCATGGGTGTGTTTACAAATGGTCTTGCAGTCTTGCAGTCTTGCAAATCAGTCGGTCAACTTAAACCTAGTTGAACTGACGACTTTTCGATCAAACGTACTACTGTCATTCAGTCAGACTCATTGTTGCAAACTTATGGGAACAACTATTTTTGGATAAAGAGTTGGATAGCCGCTTGGGCTTGCACAACTAAGTCAAGTAACTAACTAACGAAGTGAACTATGACTATGTAAATAACTGTATGCTGTATAGTACCTGTATAGTATAGTTTCCATTACTAGCTCGCTAGCCGCTACTTATACTTGTGTCTTTTTGTACTCACTGTAGTCACTATAGTCAACATGCTGGTGTTTTAAAAGCACAGGCGCAATGAACAAAACCTGTTGCAGATCAAATGGTTTCCAGATTTCACATCGGGATATACCACCCTACACTCTAGACTCTAGACTCCTAGACCTAGACCGCTAGTTTGATAGATAGGCAGGTTTTGTTTTTGTTGGCTGGCCGTAGCCTTAGATGGAGGTTTGGCTTCATGGCAATAGGGTTGGGAGAAGCAGCAAGAGCTGTGACGAACACGGCGCTTGACTGCCCTTTTGTGCGTGGATACAATCCGCAATCCGCAATCCCTCTTAGAGAGCCAGGACTGTGGCCAAGGGTATGAAACCTTGGGGCTGGTGGCCACGACTCTTTAGCTACCGAACCAAAAATTCACAATGAAACTTTCAGGCATCCAAAAGGTCTTTATTTCTGACTGGGGCTATGGCTAAGCGGCTAAACCAAAGGCATTTCTAGGATTTGGGCACTCATAATTTCGGCTTTGGTGCATAGCTCAGTTTGGGCTGACAATTTATTGAGTAAAAATCACCAGAATCAGAATCGAATCTAATTATTTTAAATAACGCCGAATCCATGGAAAAAACATACAAACATATTCAGAATCCTCATATGGGCACCATCTTTGTTTGATGTTTGACAATGTTTGTGGTGATTCACGCTTTGTTATTCCAGCCTTCTTTCTATAAAATTGATCCTGCCACAGTGCCCTGAGTCGACCGCTTTGGCTTGGCAGCCCCTCGCTCTAAGACTGCTTTGGCTCTGCTGGAAAAGGAAAGCAGCCCGATCTGCCATGAATATTTTGAATTGATGTGCCTTGAAAACTTTGATCTATGCCCTGGGGCTTTGCTAAGCACAAAGATAGCAGTTAACATGAATTGTTTTGGCTTTTTTTTGCCACAGCCTCAACTTTTTGAAGGCTTTTTCAAAAAAGAGCGCCGAAAATAGAAGTGTTTAAAGATGTTTTCTATTAGCGTACCCAACCCATACATGCTAGGTACTTATTAGGGGAAAGTTGTAGTTGCCAAGACGCATTAAAATAAGATAGCAGGTTTCCACAAAGATTTTCGACCTCCCCATACTTATTGAAAAGGAGGCTTTGCTTTTTGCACCGCAAGAACCATGATTCAGCCAGGGTTCTGATGAGGTTGCCAGCGTAGAAAGGCTCAAATATCTCATATTTTGAGGCTGTTTTTTTCTTGCATTTTACTTGTAATTTTAATGTTTTCCAGTGCCCACAGTCTGTGGCTGGGATCGAGCGACTCAAGCGTTGCATTTCATTTTCATTTGTCGTCATGCGTTGATGTCACATGAACCAGATGGGAGACTGTGGACATCGTTTGCATGGCTCAAAGGAACATCATGATTGATATCAGAGATGTCGCAAAGGAACATCATGATTGACATCAGAGATGTGACATGACGTCAAATACATTCATAATGTGGGTTTAAAACCTTTCTGTCAAATGGTTTTTCAAATTTCATGACGTCACAATCGACTGGACAGGTGTTAGAAGTTTCACTGTGACGGTTCAGGGTGTTGCAGCTTTCTCATTGCATCAATTTTGTGCCAGCCATGACCTTAGTGGACAGTTTGGCTTCTTTTGAAAAACGGTGCAATGACATTGATGACAGTGGCACGTTGTGGAATGGTTTGAAGGGACAGGATGTCAAGTGCTTTAGCGCATTGGCTTTCGCAATTGGAACCCCTCAATCAGCGCCTACAGACACTCAATACGAGGAGTTGGCAACGAAAGTTTTTGGAGGAGCTGCGACATTAGGTCAGGTTTCTGGATTAAGGCGACTTCACTTCGAAGCAACGACCTTAATTGTTGCAACGCTGAATGAACAGGTGAAAACAGACACGGCGGATCCAAGTGCAATAGTGAAGAAACTTCCTGCAGCTGAAAAGCAGTCTAGGCTTGAGAAACAGCAGGCTCGTTTGGCAGGCATCAAGATGATCGGTGAGTTGGCGCCAAGCCACCAGTTGCTGGACTTAGCAAATTCAATCATCGAGTCAGGTGCAATAGTCTGGATTGCGCCCTCGAGGTGCTCAAAAAGAGATGATGAAATTCATGCGAATATCAAGCCATCGTCATCGACTGTTCAGGTGGAAAACTCAACTTTGAAGCTAGCACAGGTTCCAGTGTCCACCACTGCCGATCTGGGCACGGAGCTCAAATTGATGTGGGCGTTTCAGCGTCGTGGACTGGCAATGGACAATTGCAGATTGTTGGATTGGAGTATTCATGAAACATGGTTGCAATACATGTTGAATGCCATGACCCGTGAATGTCCCTCAGGATATCATGCAGTCAGAACTGAACAGGTCATTAAGGCCGACAGGGAACTTTGGACAATCCTTGCGCAGGAAAACAGTGCTTCTCTCAGGCCAGTCAACGATGTGCCAGCACTGAATGTTCCCTTCAAAGCTTTGGTTACAGATCCACGTGTCACAATGTTTTTGTTGCCAGTACCTTCAAGTGTGAGCAAAACTGCGGTGGCTCCTACACAGGTGGCTCCTAAGGCAACAGGTGATGCACCGAAACCAGCACCACCCAACAGGTTGAACAAGAAGCGCAAGCTCACTAGAGCACAGAAAGCTTGCCCTGCAGAGTTGAAGGACTTCAATTTACGATTATCACAAGGGTCCACCTCTGGACCAATCTGTTGGGGGTACAATCTCCAGAATGGCTGCTCCAACGAAACATCGAGCCAAGGTGGGGGATTGAAGTGCAAACGTGGTTTCCATGCATGTGCAAATTGTCACAAATTTGGCCACAGTGTTGTTTCGTGCAGAGCAGTCAAGTCAAAGGCTTGACGACGTGCCACACCAACTGCAAATAAGCGAGCATGTGAGACTCCGTCTGCCAAGTCAAGTGAGTCTGTTACAGACCCCCATGCAGTTGGTGATTCAACGCAGTTTTCCAATTTTCCTGCACTCAGTCAAACCGAGACTGGTGAAACGGCATATCAATTTTCAGGCTTGGAATTACAGGATTTGCTTGTTTTGGAAATTTGCGCTGGCACGGCGCGCTTGACCAAGACCGTCAGAACGCGAGGCATGAGAGGCTTGGCAGTGGACAAAAGTAAGAGCAGGACATGTGGGACTGATATCATGTTATTGGATTTGACGTTGGAACAGGACCTCAACATTTTGTTACAAATAATTTCTGCTGAAGCTGGGCGCATTATTCTGGTTTTCATTTCGCCGCCATGTGGAACGGCAAGCAAAGCGCGGGAAAGGCCGATTAAATCCTCCCTGCTGTTTGGCAGGAAGCAGCCCGAACCACTCAGGTCGTCAACAAAACCTGATCAAAAGGATGGGCTGTCAGGTCTGGATAAGTTTAAAACAGAAATGGCCAACCAACTTTATGATTCAGTGCGCAGAATCGTTTTGCATTGCAACGAGCTTGGCTTGTGGGTGCTTGTGGAAAACCCGCGCAATAGCCTTTACTGGGAGACAACTTTTGCACAGCAATACATTCAATGCATTCAAACTTTTTGGATTGACTTTCACAATTGCGCCCATGGTGGATCACGTGACAAACTGACAAGACTGTGGTCCAACAAAGAATGGGGCCAGTCACTGCAGCTTCTGTGCGATGGGCAACATACACATGCGTCTTGGAGACCAAGGGTGGTTAACAATAAACTGACATTCCCCACTGCAGAGGAAGCAGCATACCCTTGGCTTTTCTGTGAGAGAGTCGTCAATATTGCTGAACAAGTTG